GAACGGAAGCTGCACAGGCCATCTCCCAGAACCAAACTGGAATTACAACTATAACACAGACAAATCAACAGGAAAAAGCAATGGAATAGCAGCTTACAAGGACCACATAACCAGGGACACTGACTCGATCCTGGTAGGATTGGGAAGGCGGGAGGGGGGCTGGGAACCCACAGACAGCAGCGGCCTTAGCAGTGAGCAGCGCCCTCGGGTTACACTCCCAGGGGGCTCCACAGCGCAGAGCCGGGACAGAGACTAAAAAAGCCACAGCAACTCACCTTGGGCTCCGGCAGAGGGAGGGCAGACTGGACTGGAACTGTGTGGGGACACTCGGGATTTGGAGGGCACTCAGAGCTTTTGCTCAGTTGCAGTCATGCAGGACGATGGCCATATTGCTCCTTCCCAGTGTTCTGGGGGGAGGCAGCAGCCTCTCCTGTGGAGATCCAACCCCACCCAGTAGGTCATTAAAATGCAAATCGAGGCTCACTAACAACCAGCATCTGCCCCACCCTCGGGAAATCCCCTTCTGCTGAGCACCTGAGGGAGTTTTTCAATCAACTGAGAAGCCAAAACTCTTCAAGTAACATCCACTGCTAGCCTCCAGGCAAAAAGCTAGAGGATAACAGTACCATTCCTGGGCTAGCAACTCTAACCATGAAAGTAAGACTTGACACTGGTGTTTAATGTGGGTCCTCCCCCGCTCATCTAAACCCAGGAGAGGGAGCCACAAACACCAGAACACCAACACCCACAGGGAAAACATGACAGGCTTCAAAGCCCACTGTGATAGCCAAAATGGTGAAACACAGAAACAAAAGCCAAATGAAAGAACGTGAGACCTGCACCGAAGATGAAATGAATATGGAGCAGTTAGGCAAGTTAACAGAGCTAGAATTCAGACCCATAATCTTGAGGAAGCTCAAAAGCATGACCAAGGACATAGAGATGCTGAAAATAAACGAATTGGAAATTAAAAACCACCAAGAAGAGATAAAAAATGACATATCAGAAATAAAGAACACATTGGAAGGTCTAAAAAGCAGAGTAGAGGAAGCTCAGGACCAGATCAGTGAATTAGGAGACAGGGTAGAAAAAAATCAACCAATCAGAAAACCAAAAAGAAAAAATGATTAAAAAACAGGAAGACAGCTTAAGAGAACTGTGGGACAACTGGAAACATGATAATATTCGCATCATAGGAGTCCCTGAAGAAGAAGAAAATGAGCAAGGATTAGAGAATATATTCAAAGAAATAGAAATGATAGAGGAAAAGTAAAAACCGACATAACAGAAATAAAAAAGATCATTAACAGCTACTATGAACAACTATATGGCAACAAATTCGACAATCTAAGCGAAATGGACAAATTTCTAGAAACACACAGTCTCCCAAAACTGGACCAGGAAGAAATAGAAAATGTGAACAGACCAATAACAACGAAGGAAATTTAAGAGGTAATCAAGACTCTCCCAGCAAACAAAAGCACAGACCCAGAGGGCTTCACGGGGGAGTATTACCAAACATTCAAAAAAGAATACCCATTCTCCTCAAAGTATTTCAAAAAATTCAAGATTAAGGAAGACTTCCAAACTCGTTTTATGAGACCAGCATAATTCTAATTCTAAAACCAGAAAAAGACACGACAAAGAAAGAAAACGACAGGCCAATATCCCTGATGAACATAGACGCAAAAATCCTGAACAAAATACTAGCAAATCGAATCCAGCAATACATCAAAAAAATTACTCACCATGACCAAGTGGGATTCATCCCAGGCATGCAAGGCTGGTACAATATTCGCAAATCAATAAATGTGATACACCACATAAACAAAATGAAAGATAAAAATCATACGATCATATCAATAGATGATGAAAAAAGCATTCGACAAAATTCAGCATCCATTTCTGATAAAAACACTCACCAATGTGGGAATAGAGGGATCATATCTCAACATACTAAAGGCCATATATGAAAGACCTATAGCCAACATCGTACTCAATGGGCAGGAACTAAAAGCATTTCCCTTAAGAAAAGGAAAAAGACAGGGATGTCCACTTTCACCATTCTCATTAAACATAGTACAGGAAGTCTTAGCCACAGCAATCAGACAAGAAGAAAAAATAAAAGGGATCCAAATTGGAAAGGAAGAAATGAAACTGTCACTATTTGCAGATGACATGATACTATACGTAGAAAACCCTAAAGACTCCCTCAAAAATCTACTAGAATTCAATACAATCCCCATTAAAATACCAACAACATACTTCACAGAATTAGAACAAGTACTTCAAAAGTTCATATGGAATCAAAAAAGACCTCGAATAGCCACAGCAATTTTGAAAAAGGACAAAGTAGGTGGGATCACAATACCAGATATCAGGTTATACTACAAAGCGACTGTAATCAAAACAGCCTGGTACTGGCACAAGAACAGGCATATAGACCAGTAGAACAGTACAGAGAAGCCAGAAATAGACCCAGGGCAATATTCTCAATTAATATATGACAAAGGTGGCAGGAGCATACAGTGGAGTAAAGACAGCCTCTTTCATAAATGGCAGCTACATGCAAAAAAATGAAGCTAGATCATCAACTTAGACCAAGACAAAAATAAACTCAAAATGGATGAAAGACTTAAATGTGACCCGTGAATCCATAAAAATTCTAGAAGAAAATGTAAACATTAAAATTTCGGACATTATACGCAGCAGAATTTTCACCGATACATCACCTAAGGCAACAAAAACAAAGGAAAAAATGGACACATGGGACTACATCAAACTAAAAAGCTTCTTCACAGCAAAAGAAACAACCATCAAAATGGAAAGGCAACCCACTGTATGGGAGAACATCATTGCCAATGATACATCAGATAAGGGGTTAATTTCCAATATATATTGAGTGCTCATACAACTCAACAAAAGGAAGACAACGAACCCAATTAAAAAATGGGCAGAGGAGCTGAATAGACACACCTCCAAACAGGACATACAAATGGCCAAGAGACACATGAAAAAATGCTCAACATCACTAATCATCAGAGAGATGCAAATTAAAACAACAATGAGGTACCACCTCACATCTGTCAGAATGGCCGCCATCAACAAATCATCAAACAACAAGTGTTGGTGAGGGTGTGGAGAAAGGGGGACTCTAGTACACTGCTGGTGGGAATGCAGACTGGTGCAGCTACTATGGAAAACAATATGGTGTTACCTCAAAAATTAAAAATTGAACTTCCATTTGACCCAGTGATCCTACTTCTAGAAATATACCCTAAGAAGCCTGAAACACAAATCAGGAAGAATATATGTACTCCCATGTTCATAGCAGCACTATTTATAATAGCTGAGATCTGGAAACAGCACAAGTGTCCATCAGTAGACGAATGGATAAAAAAGGTGTGGTACATATACACAATGGAGTATAATGCAGCTGTATGAAGGAAAGATCTCTTATCCTTTGAGACAACATGGAGGGACTTGGAACGTATTATCCTAAGTGAAACAAACCAAGCAGAAAAAGACAAATACCACAAGATCTCACTTATATATGGAATATAATGAGCATAACAGTCTGAGGAATACGGTAGACCCAGAAACATGGAAGTAGGGCACAGACTGACAACCCTCAGAAGAGGGGGTGGTGGGAGTGGGAAGAGATAAACCACAGAACTTATATGTATGTATGCATAACCAATGGACATGGACAACAAAGCTGGGGATGGGGCGGGGGGGGGGGGGATGGGGAGGAAGGTGCCAATGGGGTAAAAAAGGAGAAACATCTGTAACAAAAATAATTTTTTTAAAAAAATAATAAAAATAAAAAACATATCACAGGATATCTCTACGGGGTTAAATATAAATTGCAAGCTCAATGGTGCTTACTGCCCACAGAGTTCCGGGCAGGTAGAGCACATGAACAGGACCTTAAAGAATACCTTAATCAAATTTACTTTAGAAACCAGTGAAAACTGGACCACTCTGTTCCCCCTCGCCCTCTTACAGTTCTTGCAGGCCCTGCAGTTCATCCAGAAGGCCGTCCATAAACATGTCTGCGATGCCCTGCCTGTGCCCACCTCGGACCCTATGTACCCTTTCCAGCACGGGGACTCAATGTTGGTAAAGAAGTTCACCACTCAGGGACTGACTCTGGCCTGGAAGGGACTATACACTGTCATCCTGCCTACACCAACAGCTTGGCTCTCAAGGTCAATGGCATCCCGATCTGGCAGCACCATTCCCAGTTGAGGGGGGAAAAGCAAAATGGATGGTTCAGGCCTCTCCAGATAAGACTCTTGCATTTATCAGTACTTTGATTTTTCTGGTTATGACTGTTCAAGGGAATCCTTATAGACCTGGGCCCCAGTGGAACTAGAAACTTAGAAAAGGAGTATCAGGGGAGGTGTTAAGAAATGTTACTACTCAATGAGGTATCACCTCACACCTGTCAGAATGGCCGCCATCAACAAATCATCAAACAACAAGTGTTGGCGAGGGTGTGGAGAAAAGGGGACTCTAATATACTGCTGGTGGGAATGCAGACTGGTGCAGCCACAGTGGAAAACATTATGGTGTTACCTCAAAAAATTAAAAATTGTACTTCCATTTGACCCAGTGATCCCACTTCTAGGAATATACCCTAAGAAGCCTGAAACACCAGTCAGAAAGAATATATGTACCCCCATGTTCATAGCAGTACTATTTACAACTTTGTCATATTCAGACTTCAGTTGTTTCCTCTGCACCCAGACTCATTTGTCAGAAACATGACATGGGGGCACAATGCAATAATCCTCAATAGAGTATCCCCCCTGCTCTCAGATGTCCTTAAGCCACCAGTCAGAACTGTGACATACTTCAGTGCACAAAAAAAGCAAGAGAAAGAATGTGAAAGCTGTCATCTATAGGTTTCTTTGACTTCATTCTGGCCTTGCTAAGGAGGAAGGCTGGTTATAAGAAAATGAGTATGGAAGAAGATGGCTACAAGGAAAAGGCACCTGAGGGGATTTTTGTTCTGCAATAAAACCCAGAGTAAACTCTTAGGTAAAATGACGACATCTTTCTGGAAAAGGTGAAACTGGTATGCTGACGATCCTTATCAGAAGTATCATGATCGAACACACCTGAAAATAGATCAGAAGTTTTTGATTTCTCAGTTATTGAATATGTATCTTTGTGTATATGATGTCTTTGCAAAAATGAATATAAAACTGTACCAACTGATATGGAAACATATAGTACCAACATTAAACTTAACAGATTATAAAATTTAGAACAAAACAAACAAACAAACAAACAAACAAACAAAAAGCCACCAAAAAGTTTAAGGACCAGTCTTTGAACATCTCTGCTTGTACACTGGAACTGTCTGTCTAGCCAATCTAGAACAGTTAAGTTCCGGCTATGAAGGGTAGAAGTTATTCCCGAAACTTTACCTCCCAACAACCAGTTATTTCATGAACTTACTTTGAAATTGGGCATCTAATCACAATTGCTATTCCTAATTGCAGGGACAAAAGTGGTCATTATACATTTAGTTTTTGAATGTACAAAGAGGTCAATAAAGTTTAAAGAGCCAGATTGGGCTCTAGGCCCATAACTCTTCCGCATCGAGCACTAGACAAAAATCAGAATTGGGTTCTGGATATTGGTGCAATATCCGATAGTAATCTTTGGGAAAGCATATCCCTAAGGTCTATTTTTTCCATCATATAATAGAAATAAAACCTACTCTAATTTATTAAATGAGACGATGTGGTCAATGTGCTCTGAAAACAGTAAAATATACAATATTGCATCAAGGTAGATCTAAAGTTAAGCATTCTTAACACACACACACACACACACACACACACACACAAGCACAGGGGCAGGAGGAGACTTTAAGAAGTGAAGGATATGTATATTACACTGACTGTGGTGATGATTTCAAGGGTGTATGCATACATATGTTCAAACTCATCAAACTATATACATTAAATATATACAGTATTTTTAAAAACCATCATACTTTAATAAAGCTGTTAAAAAAAGACTAGTGACACCCTCCTCAAGGGGCAAATAGGAGGGACATCTGTAATAAAAAATAAATAAATTAACTATTGAAAAAAAAAAGACTAGTGCCCAACCAGTGTGGCTCAGTGAATTGAGCATCGTCCCATGTACTGAGAGGTCCAGGTTTAATTCCCAGTCAGGGCACTTGACCAGGTTTCAGGCTTGATCCCTAGTAGGGGGCATGCATGAGGCAGCTGATTGAAGTTTCTCTCACATCGATGTTTTTCTCTCTCTCCCTTCCTTTCTACCTCAAAAAAAAAAGTAAGAACATATTTTTAAAAAAGGCTAGTGATTGCCAATTTTGATTTGCAACATCAAAAGATGATGTAATATCCAAAAATTACCAAATACAATTGATGTCCCTATAGTTTCGTCTATCAAACAGCAAATTTAGTTGAGAGGGTGCTGCTATAAAATCAAATAATAATGAGAACCAATTCCTAGAAGTCTGTGCATTGCTGGAGCTGGAGCTAACAGCCCTCCTGAGGTTCTGGGCATTGAAAGGTCATTTGATGATGGTCTAATGCCCTTTCTTAGACTCAGCCTTTTTTCTCATTGCTCTCCCCATAACTTGACAGATGAAACACCGAAGCTCATAAGCCTACCTGTGATGACCAAAATAACTTTATTGAAAAAGGCAATCATGCCCGGCCTGTGTGGTTCAGTGGTTGAGTGTCAACCCATGCATCAAGAGGTCGCTGGTTTGATTCCCAGTCAGGGCACCTGCCCAGTTGTGGGCTCAATCTCCAGGGGAGGGCATGCAGAAAGCAGCCAATCAATGTTCTCTCTTATCAATGTTTCTATCTCTCTCCCTCTCCCTTTCTTTCTCTATAAAAATCAATAAAGAAAAAAAATTTAAAAAAAAAAAGAAAAAGAAAAAAGCAGTCATTACCTCCAAACAGCCTGAAGTGGTTTGTGTCAGTTAGAGAAGAGAGTCATAATGACTCAGGAACTGTCAGATCAGATCAACATGAGCTAAGCAAATAAAGCTACCTATCAATGTTTGGTTGCCCATGTAAAATGAAAATGGCAACTGCAGTTCTCTGGGCTAAGACGACCACTTCCAGACCTCCACCCTCACCCCCACAAACACTACTAAAACCCAAACAATTTGGTAATACTTTTTAAATCTTCCAAATTTGCAAAGTGATTTAGTAAATTGGTGTTGTTTTGACTTAGGAAGATGGGTAAAAAGTAAAGAAAACTAAGTCCATTTTTATAAAACATAACTTGTTCTAGGCTATTTTGGCAAAAGAACTAAACAAACTTCAGTAATCACTCTAAGTCATATTTGACATTTTCCAAACCCAATTAATTATTTACAGTTATAAAGTACATTTAATGGTAGGAAACGAATAATGGATATCACTATATTGAGCACATTTTATGTATAAGGCACTTTACATATATTATCTGTATTCCTCATAGTAGTGCATGTTAATATTCCACATTTCAAATTTATAAAAATGAATCTCAGTGAGACAAATGTGCCACAAATCAAGTAAATGGCAGAGGTGAGATGCAAACCTAGATATCTAAAAGCCCAGATTTTCAGATGGCAACGAAAATTGGTAGAGCATCTTTCCCTTTCCTAATCTCAATCAATCTCTTTCCCACCCTCCTGGTTCCTGTCCCTGCCATTCTCCCTCCTTCCCATACACACATATGCAGACATTTCCAGAGAAAGGCAATACAGTGTAGCAGGTTGATCTTGGGGTTTAATAAATGAACCTGCACTTAAGTTCTGACCCTGCCATTAACTAGATACAAAACTTCAGTGTTACAAATTATTTGGTGGTCTAAATTTATCATTATATTAAATTTAAATGAACATACACTGTCTAGTACATAGACACTTGCTATACTTGTTGCCTTTCACCTAGCTCTCTTTTGATAGCCTGAAGAAGGAATGAAGATGAAGCAAAAGTAGTCTACCTGTATTGTGTAAGCAAGGTCAGCACTTTCCTTAACAAGGATAGAAGTGGTTTTTGTGACCTATAAAACACATACGGCTAAGGAACTGTTAAAAACTTTGTGGCACCTAACCATAAAATATAATAGAATAATATATAATGGTCACATGAAATTTAGCTAGGAATGCGAAGTCAGTTCAACATTTATAACTCAAACCATGCCATTCACAATATTGACAGCCTAAGAAAGAAATTATGTATGATTATTTACAAAGATGCAGAAAATGTGTGACATTCATTCAATAGCCATTTATGATTTTTTAAAAGTATTCAATTAATTAGAACTAGAAGGGAACTTCCTCAACCTAATAAAGACCACCTATGAAAAAAGCATATACCTAACTTATACTTAATGATGAAAGACTGAATGATTTTTTTTACCCATCTTTACCCTGGAACAAGACAAGGAATCCACACTTACCACTTCTATACCTCATACCACGTGGAAGGTCTAGCTAATGCAGTAATGCACAGAAAAGAAATAAAGATAGATAAAATTGGAGAGGAGAAATAAAAGTGTCTTTTTTTTCCCCACAGAAAACATAATTATCTAAGCAGAAAGTTCAAAAAGAATCTACAAAAAAACTACTAGATCTAATAAGTGACTTCAGCAAGGTTGGAAAATAGAAGATCACTACACAAAAATAAATTATAGTTTTATACAAAGCAATGAACAACTGGGGACTGAAATTTTTATAAGTACAATTTACAATAGTGCCAATACATATGCAATACTCAGGGATCAATCTAACAAAGTATTGTAAGATTCACATATTGAAAATTGTTAAAAAAAAAAAAAAAAAACTCTGATGAGAGAAACCAAAGAAGACATAATTGAAGAGAAACTGTTTTCGTGGATCAAAGGACTCAACATCATCCATACTGCAATTCTCTACCAAATTAATCTCTAGATTCAATTCAACCCCAAATAAAAACCAAGCAGGTTTCTCTTTTAGAAATTTGCAAGGTGATTCTAAAAGTTATATGGGAAAACAAATAATCTAGAATAAGTAAAACAATTTATTAAAAGGAAAAGTTGGAGAATTCAACTGATTTCAAGGCTTACTATAATGCAATACTATTCTAGGCAGTGTGATATTGGCAAAAGGATCAAAACATAGGTCAATGGAAAAGAACAGAACAGAAATTGATCCACACATATATATGGTTAATTGACTTTTGACAAAGATGCCAAGTTAATTAAATAAACAAAGGATAGACTTTTAGTGTTTCAACAAATAAAAAAAGAACATACCTACATTAGAAAAAAATGAAGCTCAACCCAAAATTCACTCTATACATATACAACTTGAAATGGACACTCTATATACATAACTTACAGTAGATCATAGGCTGAAATGTAAACCAAACTCTAAAGTTATAAACCCCTAGAAAAAAAAATAGAAGTAAATCCTCATGATTTTAGGTCTGGTAATTATTTCTTATGTAAGGCAGAAGCAGCATGAACCATAAAGAAAAAAATGATAAATTAAATTTCATCAAAATGTAAAATTTTGCTCTTTGAAAAACAATAAGAAAATAAGACACTGACTGAGTAAAATATTTACAAAACATATGTGACAAAGGACTGGTAACCAGAATATATAAAAACCCTCTAAACTCTGTGTGTGTGTATGTATGTATGTATGTATGTACACACACACACACACACACACACACACTTGCTCAAAATCATTAGTCATTCGAAAAAATGCAGAATAAAATTACAATGAGAAACCACCTACTAGAATGACTAAAATTTGAAAAGACAAAAACAATCTTGGCAATGATATTGGAGCAAATGGAGCCATATATACTGCTGATAGAAATTAAAAACAGTATAGTTGCCCTGGCCATTTGGCTCAGCAGTTAGAGCGTCAGCCTGCGGTCCAGAGAGACCAGGGTTCAGTTCCCGCTAAGGGCATGTACCTTGGTGGCAGTTTGTCCCCAGCCATGGCTGGTCATGCGGGTGGCAGCCACTCGATGTGTCCCTTTCACGTCGATATTTCTCTCTCTCTCTCTCTCTCTCTCTCTCTCTCTCTCTCTCTCTCTCTCTCTTCCTCTCTCTCCCTCCCACTCTATCTGAACAAAAAATGGAAAAAAAAATGTCCTCGGGTGAGGATTAAAAAAAAAAACAAAAAAACAGTATAGTCACTTTGAAAAACAGTTTGATAATTTCTTATAAAATTAAACACACACACATAAAACCAAGCCATTCCACTCCTTGGTATTTACCTAAAAGAAATAAATATGTATGTCCACACAAATACCTGAACACAAATGTTTATAGCAACTTCATTCATAATCACCAAAAACCTTAAATTCTCCAAATGTCCACCAACTGTTGGATGGATAAACAAAGTGTGGTACATTCATTTAGTAGAATTTCACTCAGCAATAAAAGGCAGCAAACTTTGAATAAATGCAACGACATGTTTGACTCACAAAAGCATTATGCCAAGTGAAATAAGCCAGGTTCAAAGGGCTACACGTTTTGACCCCATTTATATGATGTTCTGGAAATGACAAAACTATAGAGACAAAAATCAGACCAGTGGTTGCAAGGGGTTGGCAGTATAGGGGAGATTGACCACAGAGCATGAGGGAACATTTTGCAAGACAAAAAAAGTATATTATCTTGATTTCAGTGGTAGCTACAAACTATATAATTTTGTCAAAATTCATAGATTTGTACACACCCAAAAAGGATAATTTTTACTGTATGTAAAATATATCTCAATAAACCTGAAACAAAAACAAAAATTCTGTGCAATTCAGAAATGTCCAGAGATCTACAAGTAATCAGAATTAAACATGCTGAATTTTGATTAAATGACAGAAAGTCATGATTAAAGGACAGGAAGACAGGGAGGACAAAGTTAATGAATTGTGTGTGTCTTTCACTGCTCATTATTAAAACTGTGTTTAAAAGGCCTCTAGGAAGAAGGTGATAAATATGTAATATAAGACCAAAATTCCACATCTGCTGTTTATTTGAAACAAATTAACCTAAAATGATAAATGGCCACTAAACTGTCCTTACCAAATGCTTGAGTTTGTAGATGACTCATTCAAAGGACTGCCTAATAAGACAGGAAGCTATTCAAGTACTAATTCTCCTTAAATTACAGTGTTCTGATTTATAAGAGCAGGTAAGAAGCATTTCATTCTGTGCCATTTCCTTCTCTTGGTTAGAATTTTGAAGAGACATAATAGAATCTTATCTTGGCAGTAGAGGCTGCAGGGTGGGAGAAGTAAAAGAGTTGTCCAAAACCCCCCTGAAGGGCCTTTCTCCTTGTTTGGCAAGTTGTTCAGTGGCACTGGCAGGCAGGTGTCTAGTAGTGGATAAGCTGGTACACATGGTCCTGGGTTTGCAGGGAGCTATGTTCAAAACAGTGGTAGGAGTCATTTAAATAGCATTCTCAGCCTAAAGGATGACCTAAACTGGAACAGACTACAGAAAACTTGCCTGCATTCATTCATTCATTCATTCATCCAACAAATAACTATTGACTGCCCATTCCGGGCCAGGCTCTGTATACCTACCTGGTGTAAAGTAGCTTACAATCATCTGGTTGGCAGGGGTAGGGGTTTATAAAGTCCAATAACTGAAAACAGGCTGGAGTGAACTTAATGGAAGGGAAAGCTACAGCTGTCATTTATTCCTTCTTGTATGCCATTTTCAAGAATGATCTCGGCACCCCAGAGTTCACCCAGGAAGACAAGACAGGCAGGCACTCCAGGTATAAGGAGCAGCATATGCAATAGAAGCATAAGCACAACATAGCCAGAAAACTACACAAAGTTCTACAGCACTAACAATTTGATGGAAAAATGGCATGTAATGAGACTGAAGAGGTAGGCATAAACCAGAAAGGCTGAGGGCTTTGTAAGTTGTGTCAAATAATTAATTGTTAGTTTGTGGGGTAGACAATGGAAATTTATTAACAGGAGAGTAACAAACCAAGATTTGCATTTTGAAAGATGATTCTAAGGGCAAGTCAAAGACAGACGGGACATGAAGGAGATGGGGAGTTCCTTCTCTCTCTTTTGAGAGTAGTTGAAAAGCTGATGGAGTACCAGAAAGGTGGTGTTCATTGTAGAGTCCATCCATAAACCAACCCTGAGTCATGCAGAAGAAATGACCCATTCTTCTGCCCACTGCATGTCTCTAGCTGGCAATCATGATTATTTCTCTCCCCACCCCCACCCCCACCAAAGTAGCAGCTCCGTAAGGACAGGAATGGTCTTACACACACACACACACACACACACACACACACACACACATTCATTTATAGCCTAGTGCATTGCTAATAGTAGTAACTGTGTTGACTGAGTGAATGAGTAAATAAATTAACCAATTGAGAGATAGTTTGGGCCCAAGAAACCAATTGAGAGCTGTTGCAAAATGTTATTGATGGGTTATTTGAAAAGTTAGTAAGCTACCCATCACATGGAAAGTTGAACTGAATACCTCTGGAAGTCTTTTTCCAATGTGAAGATTTTATAATTCTAGGCTACTTCCCTGACAAAGTAATAAGAGACTGAAAATGAGATATGTTGAGATTTGTTCTAAAGAATGACAAAAAAAATTGGTCTAATAAAAATGTTAACAGGTGAGTTTATAATATCAGGAAACATTGAACTAAGTCAGCTAAAAGCTAACAGTACATTTTTTATAAAGGCCCCTGAGGAAGGAAACCACTGATTATCATAATTAAGCCAAGGCAATCAATGTAGTAGATCAGGCCCTGTAGTCTACACAGACCCTCATATACTGGAGGCAGGGAATGTCAGGTGCTTGGAGGCAGGCCCAGAAACAAGGTCTAGGAAGAATTCCAAGTAGGTAAAAATGCATAATTGGAAAAGGAGAGTAGGCAGCAATAGGCAGAAGTCCAGGCAGGTGAGCAGTGAGCATCAGGATACTCAGCATGGAGAAAACAGATAGAACACAGTAGGAAAGAAATCTGATAAAAAGCAATTAGTCAGTGAACATCAATATCAACAATGGACAGCAAAGTCCCAACCACAGGCATGCGCCTAGGCAGAATTCAAGTTCCTAAGAGGCCTGGCAAAAAGAA